AGTATTCGTGAACCGGTGATGAATGTCGACATTGCACCAACAATTTTGGATGTGGCTGGCATAAAAGCACCGCCTCAGATGGACGGACGCTCCTTGCTACCTTTAATTAAGGCATATGGTAATTAATTGATGAAATTTATTCATCTTAATATTCTACAATCAACAAAGAAGAAAGATTTGAAAAAATTTATTATCGCTTTTTACCTATGAAAATATACGTCACGCAGTTGCGCAAAAGCAAGGTAGAACAACCATGCATACTATTGCTCTTAAAAAGCAGCTGTTCCGATTATAAACTAATCCGATTATAAAAAGGTTTATTATGCGTATTGACAACAACTAATTTCAAATTTGATTTGTTTATGTCATTAACTGCAAAAATTTATTTTTCAAACTTTTATTAGGTGGCTTTTAACAGCGCAAAGTGTAGCTTAAAAACTTTAATTGGTCTAGTCGTGGCTGTAATTAACAGAAAAAGCGTATATTTACTGCGAATAAAAAGAGCAAAATTATAAGAAGCTATGGTATGGAAAGAGTAGACACAGTTTTTCTCCTCTATTTTTTAGATTACTTAAAGTCTTACCTTGCTCTGAAGAAGTGGTTATATGCTTTGCTATAAGTAACAGTTTTTGAAGTAAGTATTTTTGTAGCTTCCTCATGTCGTTAATGTAACTATGATTAATCTGTAATTAGTTTCTTTTAAGGAGCTCGAAAAGCGAGATCATTGAGGAAATTAAGGTGGCGTCACACAGTGTTAATTGAACGCGGGTAAACAAATGATATGGTTTCTAAGATTAGATTTATTTATAAAAAATAGTTTCTAATTGGCATTTTTAAATATAATTAGCATTTTTTTTTGGAGCGATCTGTAGGTCAATTACAATTAGTGTAATAATAAGGTGTACTTTGAAAATTTTACTTTTTTGAACTTGAAGAGGAGAACCTGAAATTGGCTGACATCAGACGGCAGTTCAGTAGCCAACCTGTTTTCAGGAAAATGACAAAGTTAAAAAATTTACGAGTACGTTTGGAAATGCAAAGTAATCATGTTCAAGAAAACTCTATGTTGTATGCACATTGTAAACGGCCAGAATTCAATGGATTCTGCGATGAGAAACAGGTTATAGATCAAATTGTTAGGTTTTTCTTTTGGACACATTGAGATTCTGAATAACTTGTTATGTATAGGTATGGAAATGTATCAACCGTAAAAATAGATGGATTATATTGAAATGTCAGGAAATAATTGAGATTACTGAAGAATGCAATTGTACAACAACTAAAAACTCTTCCAATTCAAACAAAACTGGTATCGATTATGCTTCACTTGATTTACGGGAATCAACTGTAACTGAATAATTGCAAACCAATCAAATTTACTTTTGAACTTGGCAAAACAACTTTTTTTTTTCTTAATTAATGATGTTCAAAACCTAAATTTTTAAGTTCTATAAAGTATAAATTCCCCCTTTTTCAGAGGGAAGGAAGGTTATAATCACACTTTCTTCAGGTTTAAATGTGGCAACACTTAGGATTCTGAATATGTTTTGCATTTAGATGAGGAAAAGTTGCGATGGAATGGAACAGTAGCTGAACTGTATGAGAGAAGTGTTAAAGTTTTGATTGATGGTCGACTACGCATCAGATGGAGATCAGAATTTCTTAATTATTTACATCAGGTACACATTCAGTTTATTGGGTTGATTGATTGAAATAGCTGAAATATAGTTCAAAATTGTAACTTGATTTATCAAAGTTTTTTGTTTTTGTCATATTTGTCAGAAAAATAGATGCATTTCAAATGTGGATCATAAGTGAAAAGAAAATAGAATGGTTGCCATTTATTTGACTAATGAAACCTAATAATTATATTATATTTCACATTTATTGCACTGTTCAATAAACTCTGTAAACGAACAACAACAACAACAACAACAACAACAACAACAACAACAGAAAAAGTGTGCTACAGGAATCAGTTTTATCAAATTCAAAAAGATTTGACGATAAGAATAGCAGTATGGAAATTGATCGTCGGAAACGGTCGAGAATGCGACCAAAAAAACATTTTAAAAAAGCCGGTATTTTAACTGCTAATCTATATTAATCTTTACATTTGTAGTGTTTAAAAAACAAAAAAAAAAATGGCAAAAAAAAAAAAAAAAGAACTTTTTTAAACGTACACTCAGATAAGACTGAAGTTAAAAGTTAAAGAAAAGAAAATTTTTTTTGACACAGAATCTGTAGCATAATTATGCAAGTGATTTTTATAGATGAAAAAAGCAACAGTTATCACTGTGATCTGTGGACATTTATAAACTATTTTTCCTGGAAACGAGTGTTGAGAAGAAAACTATTACCAACTACGGTTTGGTTTTTTTTTTTCCTTTTTACTGTATGTACACTGTTCGTTCATTTATATTAAAGAGAACAAAATTCTTTCATTTTTTTGTTTGTTAAGGTAACACTACTGCAACTTTGTTCC